AAAGAGAAAAGGGCAGACGGCAGGGTGGAAAGGGGATTCAAGGGAAGGCAGAGTGGATAGTTTCTTCTTAGATTTTGGAGGGGTCACAAACTTGGATACATATTAGAATCACCCCAGGACCTTTTCAAAATCCCGATGCCCAGGCAACACCCCAGACAAATCAAAACCCCGGGGGCCCGAGCCCAGACATGCCATTTATGTTTTTGAAAGTCCTTGGAGGATCCAGTGCCCAGCCAGGGTGAGAAGCACCCTAAAGTGAATTCACTCTAGAGTGAGCATGGGGAAAACCCTCCTCAGGCCCGCCACTGTGGACGCTGTGCTCAGGGTGGGGCTGGTCTCGAGTAGGGAGGAGAGAAGTGTGCCCCATTCCTCCCTTTCCATCCCCTGCCTCCCAGTCATCAAGCTGATCTCGGGCTGGAACGTCGACATCCTCGAGCAAGGAGAGGTGCGGCTTTGGCTGGAAGTAGAAAAGTTATCTCCGGCCGCTGAGCTGCATCTAATCTTCAACGAGAAAGAGATCTTCAGCTCACCGGTAACGGGGACTCAAAATTCCTACCTGCGGTTACGCCTGTAGTTCCCCCCACAGACCGGCAGCGCCCCCAAGCGGACATTTTAGAACCGGTTTATGCTTTGGCTGTCCGTGATGGCGTGCGGGTGGGGACATCTGGCTTTCAGGACGTGGGGGACAGGTGGCAGGGACGCTAGATGCCCATTAATGCGAGGGACACTCCCACAAACAAAGGGTTTCCCAGGCCTCCTATAACTTTTGAATATCCTGCCAGACGTTCTTCAGATGAAATACCTGCATTCATGCTTATAATTATCCAAGCCTAGATCCTAACTCTGAGATATAAATACAGAGAATTTTTGCAGTTTAAATATACAATGAATAGACAGTTTTTATTCTAGTGGGCACTTCACCTATGCTCTTTCATTTGTTTTCCTGTTTTCCTTGTACAAAATAGTTTTGATGTTTTTGCTTTTCTTACTTCTCTTAAATTCAGACCAGTTCTTTACAAATCAGTGTACCATGAGTGAGATTATGTCTGAGCATCTGAATATTGAAAAGCATATTACTTTATTTCTTTTTCCTATTACAGTTGCACTATTCCATTGCCTTTCTTAAAATCATGTGCGCGTATAAGTTGTCCATATTCAACTTACAAACATGGCAATTTCAGTCTCATGAGAGATGCAATCATGAGATCTTATTATCTGTGAACTTCATCTCCAGATGGCAAAGGGGCCATCAGAAACTATGGGTTATACAGCGGGGCACTGGTTCTGACAGAGAAGAAAGAGTTTGGGGCTACATGTCACAAGCTCTTGTGTGCCCTTGGGCAGGTCCCTTCACCTCTCTGTACCTCATTTTCTGCATCTGTACAATGGGACTGGTTGTCCCAGAGTCGGGAGGAACAAATCAGAAAATAGATTTGAAAGTTCTGCTTAAAGATTAAGCATAACCTTGGCACATGGTAAAGGAAGTGTTACAAAGTCTGGACTCTTCGTTGAGACTATCAGTTGCCCCAACAGAAAAATAAAACAAAACTAGATGGCATCCTCAAATTATCCATACAAATAAGGCCAGAGGAAATAAGGTCCTAGATGCGGAAAATAAAATTTTTTAAAACTGTTAAAATATGATAAACTATAAATGAGTACTAACTTTATGTAGCAAGTATACAGGCTTTTAAATTTTTATCCTTTATACTTCTATGGAGAATGGTAAAAGAAGTAGAAAATAAGAAAAAAAAAGTGGCACAGTAGGGAATTGGGGCTTATTCTTAATTACAATTAATTCAAGCACCCAAGACTCTTTCCTGTGCCTGCCAGGCCCTGGGGGTGTCCTCAGGGGCGTTCTTAGGCGCTGGGTGTAGGAAGAGCCCCAATTTATAAGCAGCAGAGGATTATCTAGGGTCCCCTCCTCATCTGCAAAGGCTTCTTTCTAACTGTGCACATATCACTTCCCAAGTCCAACTGCACCCCGATTTGTGCCACACAACACAAATTCTCTGGGATAGAAAAGGGGTAAAAATGACTGGGGTTTGTTCTCCCCAGAACCGCAAAATCAATTTTGACCGAGAGAAGGGCCTAGTGGAAGTGATCATCCAGAACTTGTCGGAGGATGACAAAGGGTCATATACTGCTCAGCTCCAAGACGGGAAAGCCAAAAACCAGATCACCCTGGCACTGGTGGATGACGGTCAGTCCTGCCCTGCCCACCCCATGCACCCGCCCTCAGCTCTCAACTCTGGGGTCTTCTGTCCACCTGGACACCCCTCTCTGGACCTGCACTCCTCTTGGCTCATGCCAGTCCCTCCCTATGTGTTCACAGATTTCGACAAACTTCTGAGGAAGGCGGATGCTAAGAGAAGAGACTGGAAGAGAAAACAGGGTAAGTTCAAAAGCCTCAGCCACCAGGCCAGTGGTCAGTGCTGGGGAACTGCTGGACTCGTGGGTTAATACATCCCACAGCCCTGCAGGCCCCCTCCCCGCCGCCCCGAGGGAGGGCTACTGCAATTCAATCCAGTTCTGTCCCTGCGCCAGAACGAAACGGCACTCGCCCAACCCAGAGAACGAGCGCCTCCTTAAATTTTACACCGTACGTGCCTCCCTTGCCTCAATCCAGTTCCTTTTCACGTAGGGGCAGACCCTGAGGGGCCAGTGGTAGGCTAGTTATCCCCACCCCAACCAGCTAGCTCCCCCGTCTCACCACCAGGTGGCGCCCCGGCTGAGCCTGGCGGTCTGACCGGTGGGCGTATCTGTTTTGCACTCACAGGTCCCTATTTCGAGGAGCTCTTGCAATGGAAGGTCACGGAGGACTGCCAAGTGCTGCTGACGTGCAAGGCAAATCCCTACCCCTGCCTCCAAGCCCAATGGGGCGAGACCTGGTGGCTTGTCCCTAAGTCTGGTGGCTGTCCTTGCCCCACTCTCCCATTCTATACCCTGAGCTTGGCCGATCCCACACCTGGGAAGTAGCCCCCGCTGAGACTGCATTTAACTGGAAAACAAAGCCACCGCTTGCAGAACCCAGGTTGCAGAATTGGTGTGAGTTGGGTCTACCTTGAGCTAGATCTCCAAGCTGTATCTGGTAGGGATTCTTTGGGGTCAGGAGATTCTTTGGGGTCTGAGAGCAAGTGAAGGTCCGTGTGTTGGGGAAGGGGGCATTCCCTGGCTTCTACTGGCAGCCTTGCCAGACACCATGCTCAGTGCTTCAGAGCATTATTTTGTTTCATCTGCCTCACGAGCGTCTGTGGAGTAGGCATAATGATTACCCCTACTTTGCAGATGAGAAAACAAATGGAGAAATAGCTCAAGATCAAGAAGTAGTGCCCCGTGTGTCTGACTCCAAACTTGGTGCTCCCTCTCAGCACCCTGCAGCCTCTTTAGAGAACTGGGGAAGAGCAGGGTGGGGGAGAGCACTCTCCCAGAAGCATATTTATTCAGCAAGCTCAAAGCACCTACTATGCTCCAGATACTCTGCAAGGCACTGAGCGTACGAGGAGGAAGAAGTGGTCTCAGGCTTCTAGGAGCCCACAGGCCCGAAGCAGGATCATTGGAAAACAATTTGCCTCTTGCTGTGATGGAGCCACATGCAGGAAATTGATTAATCATGTCGAGGGGGCACTCTGGGGTGCTTCAAGGGAGGCTTTCTGGAGGAGGTGACATCTAACTTGAGTCTCAAGATGCATAGACATTTACAAGGAAAAGCAGAGTAGGGAAGGGTTCAAGAGGCAGAGGGAGCACCATTAGCAAAAGTCCAGACCTCAGAGGCCAGTGGAGGAGACACATGGTGTGAGGTGGAGTTGGCCAAGCAGACACAAGGTGTGAGAGTGCGTATGTGCAGGGGGTGTGGGTGGGGTGAGAAAAAAAAAAAAGGTTATGACGAGTTGAGTTTTTACTTAAAAAGAAAAAGCCTGACGGAGCCTCATTCGCCACCTTCCTCAGGTGACCAACACAAAGAAGGAAACCTGTTTCCAGTGGTTCTTCCAGAAGAAAGAGACGCCAGACGGTCAGTACGACCCGCAGACGGGAGCAGGGCTTCTCCGCATCGAAGAGGCAAGTGCGGCTTTGACTTCAGGGCTCACGCGCTCCAGACGGTGCCCGGGACGCTGGGTGGGGAGCCAGGAGCAGGACCAAGCCGAGGGCGATGCAAATGAGGCACTCACCTTGGGTACGAAATTTAAGGGCACTAAAAACTCAGCAATCAAGATCAATAATATTTCACGCAATCTTTTAAAAACTGAAAATTAATGCCAAAAAAAAAAACAACACCAAAATTTTAAATAGAGACAGGATCAGTGATACTGATTTTTCCTTTTGTTTGAACTCCAGTCCTGGCCCTACTACCAACTGGTGGGCTAGTCATTGCTCTTCTCTGATCCGTTTTCGTCTATAACATGAGCAGTTAGAAACGGATGCTCCCTCAAAGATTCCTTCCTGCCCGGACAGTCTAGAATTCCAGACAAGGAGGCTGCCTCCATGTGAGGCAGGTCTGGGCAGAGCAGAGTCGGCCTGGAGCTCAATTCTCCACCCATGTCTTCCCCGTGGCTTCTGAGGAATGTGCCCTGGTTAAGATAGAAACTCAAGGCCTGTTCTCAAACATTCACCGTTTCTCTGCCCTGCTGCTGATTCCTCTGGCCTCACTGGCTGCCAGGGAGGACTGGAGCAAGCACAAGTTTGCTGACAAAGAAGGAAATGATGATTTCAGGGTCTTCTCCCAAATCCCGGCTAGGACAATGTCGCCTTTATCATCACGGCACAATCTCTCCGCAAAGAGCTCGGCACCAAGTCGGTGCTTAAGAGCTACTAAGTCCTGTTGTAATCATCCGGGCCATTTGTGCAGAACCTTCTAGTTTCCAAAGAGTTACCTCCCTTGGTCCTCACGGCCATGACGGCATATAGCCGGGACGAGGACTGTGCCACCATTTTTAGATGAGTAAGCTGAGGCTCAGAGGGTTTCAGTACCGAGGCACAAGGATAGAGAGTGGGGTCAGAAGTCACCCTAGTCACCCTCTCCAGGGTGTGGCTGGGTCTTTGGAAGAGGAAGGAAGGGACCCAGGAGAGGACTGTTGGAGTTCAGCCCTTCGACTCAGGTTAAGAGATGCCTCTACCTTGGATCTGCCTCAAAGTACACTCTGTGGAAATGGTCAGATGGGAGGGGCCCTCCGAGGGGACAGGGAGGCAGATATCACTCCCCAGGCCCTGAAGGAGGAACACTGTGTAACGAGAGGTCACTTTTGACCTCTGGACCTTGCGTTAAAAGTACACTCCAAGTTATTGCTTTGCTGAGTGTCAATTCAGGCTTCATTTTGGGGTTGACAAGCATGTGACAGAGAAGACTCCTTTGTCCTGGGCAAAAGGACACGTTTCCTCCTAGAAAAGTACAGAGGAGCAGCCCAGGCAGCCCCGGTGGAGGGCGTGCTGCGCTCAGACGAGCTCCACAAGGAGGGGTCAGTGCTCCACTCGGAGCAGCTCCCTGGAAATCCAAATGTGGGGTATCTGTCTCCGCCCTCGGCTCTGCCACCTCACCGCGTCCCCAGACCCAGACAAACCCTGAGCTGGAATCAGAAGTCTGGAGCTGGAAGGAGCCTTAGACCTCACCTATTCCAGATGGGTAAACTGAGACCCAGGAAGGAGAAGGGTCTAGCCTGAGATCACACGGAGAGCTAGGGCTGGCCCCAAGCCTGGGCTGACTTGCTGTCGGTCGCTTCTTCTGGAACCCATGCTGACACCGCCTTCGCTCATCCTTCTTTCCAGCTGTCCAGAGAGGACATGGGAATTTATAGAGCAGCGGTTTCTGATGACCGAGGCTTGGACGACACCATACTGGACCTCACAGGAGAAGGTGGGAGCTAGTGATGGAGATGGGCCGGGAGGGTTGTAGGGAGATCACACTGAACCAAGAGACTGTGATGTGACCTGTGAGGTAAAATGTATGGGATCCCATGTCACTTGGGGCAACTGAGGCACAGAGAAGTTAAGTGACTGGCCCAGTGCTGCACAGCTAGTCAGTGGCAGGGGCCTGGTCTGTGTGACTCTGATGCTCTTGCTCACTGCAGCATATCACAGTGAGCCTAGGCTTCCAGACCAAAGGCCCAAGTTCAGTCCTCTGCCCCACAATGGGCCCCTGGCCCCTCATCCAGTTGATTGGCTCAACCAGCAAGAAAATTGTCAGGTTAGCCCATTTGTCCCCCATCCATGGTGCCCCTGCCCCATCAGTCACTGAGTGCCCCAGATCCTCACCACCCCCAAGCCATGGGAATCATCCTGCAGAGTTCCCAGGGCCCCAAGAGCTGCCTGTGACTCTTGGAGCCCACATTTTCCAAGGAAGCCTCCATCCCAGTGCGTCTGTAGGGGAGCCTTGCATTAGCTGACCATTCCCTCTCTCCTTCTAGGCCTGGATGCCATCTTCACTGAGCTGGGCAGGATTGGTGGTAAGCAAGCAAGCCCCTCTTTTTGCCCAATTCTGCCCCAATACCAAATCTCCTCCAGGGGACCTCCAACCAGCCTTGGCTCTCAGGGGGTAGGGGGCGGGGTTAGTTTCCATCCTCAAAGGCGGAAAGAAGTGTCTGCCTCCTTGCAACACCGCATCTCACCCCCACCATACCCCGAGAGCAGGGGTGAGCTGGAGGGCCCCAAAAGGTGTTGCCCAAAGGACCTTGGGGAGACCCACTCTTCTTATCTGCCTCCCTAGCCCTCTCTGCGACCCCACTGAAAATCCAGGGGACTGAGGAGGGAATTAGGATCTTCAGCAAGGTCAAGTACTACAATGCGGAGTACATGAAAACCACCTGGTTCCACAAGTAAGTCGGCCTTGCCCTGGAGCCCTAGCCAGGCTGAAAAGGGGCCCAGCACCTACGCCAGCTCAGTCCCATGGGGACAGCAGAGATCAGGTCTTCCACTGGTCCTACTGTCCGCAGAGAGAGTTAAGAACAGAGAACAGAAGGGAGCTCTCCCAAGGAAGGTGGATAGTCTGGTGGTAGGACCATTTTTGCAGAATATCCGTGACCAGAGAAGGACTGTTGTCTTAGAGCAGCACTTGGGACTGGGGGAGAGAAGGGTGTGGAAACAAGGGAGAACCGGAAGGTCAGGTGGGTCATGATACCCTTGTGGTCCTTTGAAGCCTCAGCAAACTCAGGCAGCCAGGCTGAGAGGACAGGTGCAAGCAGAGGGACCTGTGGGGCTGCTAACTAATCGATGGCCCGGGCTTGAATGCAGGATGGATAAGGTATCCATGGAGACTTGGCTAGGAACTAAGTGGACCAAATAGTTTGAGAGCAGAATTTTCCCAGTGCTTCTTGTCATTTGCCTGCCTCAGCCTTGTGGAGCAAACATTGCTGCACCCATTCTGTGGAGAAAGCTAGATTGCCTTGGTCAAGTTCATCACCTGGGTGAGAGAGCCAAGGGCAAGTTGAGTTCCAGGACAATGGGCTCCTCCTCTAGAGTTTCTGAGCCCTGTGACTAAGCCCAGAGGTGTCACTTTTACAACACAACACTGGGGACCTAGACCAGGTGTCTCCAGGGATGAACTTTAAGTAAAGAAAAGAGGTTGGTATGGTTTCTAAGGATTCAGGGAAAGCAATTATGAGAAGAAACCCAAGAAGGGTTTAAGACGAGGAAAATGAAGAGGTGAGGAAGTGACTTCCAAGACTAGAGGAAGTGGTGGTCGCTGACCCCAGAGCACTATTTCCTCAGAGTTCCAGTCTGCAGGACGTGTCACAAATACAGACTCAGTACTGGCACATAGTTATAAGCCACAGTATTGGACGGGTGGATGGATGGATGGATGGATGGTCGGATGGATATTTATGGAATGCCTCATGAATGGTCACCACCTTCAGCCCACAAATCTATACATAAAACCCCAAGAGAAGAGTTTGAGGAGGAGTTAGACCTGCAGGCAGACAGCTGCCTGGCAGTACTGATAGACCGAGCCGTGTGACCATTTATTCGCCCTCACATTCAGAGAGAAACGCCTGGACAGTAGCGATCGGGTGAGGGCTGGCACCACCCTGAATGAGATCTGGCTCCACATCCTGGATCCCAAAGACTCAGACAAGGGCAAATACATCCTGGAGATAGCTGCTGGGAAGGAAATGCGGCAGCTCTCTGCCGATCTCTCCGGGCAAGGTGAGCCGTCTACCTGTCTGTCCTAAGGGGAATCTGTTTAAAACACCCCGTGGTCTTTTGGAGGGACTCCCATCTCCCCACCCAATCCTGGCATGGCTCCAAGAGAAAACTGGAACAGAGTGGGAATGGTCAGCGCTAAGCCCCGTACCTGCGGATCCTGGGAGCAAAGGCCCTGACAATCCCCTCCCCTCTTATTTCCTTCTCACAGCTTTCGATGACGCCATGGCTGAGCACCAGAGACTGAAGTAAGTTTCCTCTGTGTTGCTGGTTCCTTGGGTGTGGCATGAGCTGTGCACAAGACCCCTTCCCGGGAGTCCCGGCCCATTCTTCCTTTCCCTCATCATCCCCCCCGCCCCCACCCGGGGAAGGACTGTCCTTTAACAAACAGAACCTCGAGACTTTTCCCATTTCTGTTTTTCAGAGCCTTGGCCATCATCGAGAAGAGTAAGTCCACCTATATTTCTGTTGTTTTCGTTTCTGAGTTTGAGGCAGCTTTCGGGGAGCTTATGCCTCCTAGCTGGCTGGCTGGCTGCTGAAATCGCATGTCCCCGTGGGGTCTGTGTGGCTCTGAGCTGTCACGGAGCTGCCAGGGAGACCCGGGCAGTGACAATGTGAAGACAGATGGGTAAGGAGTGTGGGAGTACCTGAGACCAAGCAGGCCCATGGGCAACGGTGGGGACAATGGCAGGGGATAGACAAGAACAAGCAAGGAAACTGAACAGCTGTGAAAAACAGAAAACAGACTAAAACACTACTAGCTTGGGGCCACTCGTGGGAGCAGGGAATTCGCCCTACATGGCGATGTTGTCCCTGAGTGTTCCCACTTGGCAGCAAGTGCAGGCCTTGACATTCATAAATATAATCTGGGAGGGAGCACTGGATGGTCTAAGTGGCCATGCAGTGAGGAGTCCTTGCCAGGGGCGGCCACCTTGGTGGGAAGAGTGTTGCCCAGAGAACCCCCTGCACCTGGCCAGGAGGAGCCCTGACATAATCATGGAGGACGTCAAGCCCATCACGCAGCCAATCTAGTCACTTACCCGGCAAGAACATCCATCGCATCCTGGAATGTGTGTCCCCAGACAGGAGACCTCTCCAGGACTCTGAGAGGGAAGCCAAATTCACCGTAGATGGTTGGTGGGGCTTGTGGAGTCAAGGAAGTGGGTCATTTCACCCAGCTGTGAAGGGCCCGGTGAACAATCAACAGCGTCCATCTCTGGGGCCTTCTCCCCGCCACCCCTCTGCAGGGTCCCACTCCCCTTAGTCCACTGGACAGACACCAGCCAGTTCAGGCTCTTCGCACTTTACTGACCGATGCTCTAGGGTCAGTGCTGCCCACTCTTCTGTTCTGAAGCCTCAGTTGCAGCGTAAGGAATGTACTGACTCTCTGCCTAGTGATTTACAACCACATTCTCTTCCTACGCACCCACAATGGCTACCAGGTCCCCTCCTTGATGGAATCAGTGTCCCAAAAGCTCAGTCCTAGTGCTCCAGGCCCCTCCTCGGTTTATCACACCTATTGTGTGCATTTTGCCAGGCTAAGGCCCAGAACAATCTGACTTACATTCTTTCCCAGTTCTCAAGGGGAGGGGCACCTCGCTGTCACCTCCAGGTACCACCAATCGTGAGGATGACCTCAAATCAATGACAGAAACCTGTTATGTCCCCTATCTTCTGTTTATGAAGGCAAGGAAACATAATATAAATTAAAGATTTACACCCAAAAATGATGAAAATAGAAAAAAGAAGCATTGCTTAAAAATAGACCTCAGCTCTGTGGAAACCTGCTTCTGGGAAGCAACCTGAAGGAAAACATTCATCACTGTGGGGGTCTCATTTTTCCCTTCTAGATCGTGCCAAAGTGGTGAGGGGCCTGCCAGACGTGGCTACAATCATGGAAGATAAGGTACTGACCCATGCTGTGTTCCCTTGCGTATCCATCAAAAATCATGAAGCAACATAGCACCATGAATTCCAGAGCCGAAGGGGCTGGATCCACCAGAGTCTGGCCAAGTGACCACACTGCATTGGTCACATGTAATATAAAGGAAAGACCCTGAGCCTGGTGTCAGGCCCATGGGGATGCTTGTCCCAGCTCTGCCTCATCTCTCCAGGTGGCCCTGGGCATCATGTACTTCTGTCTGTGAACTTCAGTTTCCCCAAGAGCTCAACTAGATGACCCCTTTAAGGGCTAAAATTATGCAAGTCTAATATTCCAGAAAATATTCTAGGAAAGCTAACATTATTATAGTGCTAACTTTGTGCCAGGCACTATTCCATATGTGTTACATATTTTAGCTTATTTAACCATCAAGGCAACCACACGAAATGGAGTATTATTACCAGTTGCACTTTGTAGCTGAGGAAACTGAGCCCCAGAGAGATTAAAAGACTTACCTAAGGTCACACAGCTTGAAGGGGCAGAGCCGAGGCAGCCCAGTTCCAGACTCTGAGTGTTTGATCATGATGCCATAGGTTTCTGAGTTAGAACTTATTCAAGTATTTTCTAACTCAGTCCATAAATCTTTGTATCAAAGCAATATAGCCTCATTTGCATGGTAAAATCATAATGACATATATACAACAAAAATCAAGAAAGCAAAGTTCAAGCCATGCTGGGGCAGATAATTGCCAGAATACTAATGATCTGAAATCCCAACCAGTAAATATTCCTGTAGAAAGCGGAGTATGGGAGACGTGGGGTTAATGTAAAATGTCTCTTCCTTTAATGTTATCACTTCATGGGCTTCGATAAAACACTTGTAATGAATTTATCACAAGTTGCAACTTGTGCTGGGAGCTCTCCGGGGGAGCGAAGGTGAATGCCAAGGGGTATTACAAAGAGGTGACCCAGCGTTCTTTTCCCATCCTTTCAGACCCTGTGCCTGACCTGCGTCATCTCAGGAGACCCCGCCCCTGAAATCTTTTGGCTGAAGAATGACCAGCCTGTCACCTTCCTTGACCGCTACCACATGGAGGTGAGGGGGTCAGAGGTCACCATCACCATCGAGAAGGTCAACAGTGAAGACAGCGGGCGCTACGGAGTCTTTGTCAAGAACAAGTATGGCTCTGAGACGGGCCAGGTCACTATCAGCGTATTCAAGCACGGGGAGGAGCCCAAGGAGCTGAAGGAGATGTGACGGACAAGTTCGGGCTCAGCCTGGGGTCTAGTCTGCATGGACCAGTAGGGTCACCCAATGGGTCACAGCCTGGCACAGGCCCCAGGGGCAGGGCAGCGGGGAAAGGGACAGGGTGGAACTCGGGACATCAGGGTGGAATGGAGTGGACACACCGAAGTGGAATAGTAAAGACCCTGCTGAGTTCCCAAGAGGCCTCCGGAATAGTGAGATCAGCACTGGACTTGGAATGGGAGACCTACATGCAAGACCCAGTTTCAACTCTACACTCTCCACGAGCCTCGCCTTTCTCATCTATCAGATGGGGATTCCTACACCTAGAGACTGTTTATGAAAATTCTTTATAAACCATATACCAGTGGTTCTCAACAGCAGGCAATTTTGTCCCCTAAGGGACATTTGGCAATGTCCAAATTTTTGGCTGTCACAGCTGGGGATGTCTACTGGCATCTGCTAGGTAGAAGCCAGGGATGCTGCTAAACACCACAGGTCCCCGCCACATGGAAAATCCTACCCAAACGTCAATAGTGCTGAGATTGGCTTGGCTAGCCCTGTCATAAACTGATGTATCACAATATCCCTCTTTTAGGATACTATATTTTCCATTCACGTAAGTTCAGTAAACGTTCATTTGAAGTCTAGCACGTATGCGCAAAGCTGACAATGGCACTGGAGCACAAAGATAAATAATACACAGGCCCTGTCCTCAAGGAGGCTTTAGCCCATCTGGGAGAGTCGAACCTGGGTGCAAATGACTCCAGCGCAAGGCAGATGATGAGAATTATAAAACAGGTCCAAATAAAGTGCCACGAGTGGTCAAAGGAGAGAGACGGATGTTCATCCCAGTGGAGGAAAGTGGGCTTTAAAACACCTTCACAAAGCTAGCAGAATTGGTGTTGGAGCGTGAAAAATGGGTTCAATTTGGCTATGGTTATAGGAAGAGGACATTGCAGGAGCCAAGTATGTGAGAACAAAGGGGTAACACAGTGGGGGTGACACTGCCTTGGTGGCCTCGGATGCCAGGCTGGAGAGCTGGATAACCCTCAGGACTTCTTTCAGTTAGAGACCTCTGACTGGTGTGACAGATACCGGTTGGCTTTGCTTGATGAACCTCAATTCAGAGCTGGGCATTTTACCACCTTTCACTTTCCTTCTTTTTTAAAATAAGATTTGGAGAGGGTGGGGCTTATGAAGTTTAAAGTTGTAGATGTTTGTTGTAAAATTTTGGAAATCCCTGAAAATTATAAAGGAGAATATTAAAATTTCGTACACTCCCAACACCAGATGATAACCCACCTCTGATTTCTGAAATGAGTTCTGAATTTAAGGGTACTACGAATCACTCCTACATCCACCAGCTACACATACAAGGTGTGGGTAACTTATAATCTCCGTAGCTCATGCTTTGGGCTCATGGTGCAGTCAGACCAGGTGTTCAAGTTGGATGGGGGGCCCGGGGACCTGACCGTGCCCTGGCTGAGAATGAATATGGGGAAATTGTTCAGGTCTTGGAGGCAAACACACCTTGGGCAATTCTTTGCCTTTCTCTGGGCCTGGATTTCCCACCTATGAAACAAGAAGGCTGAAAGATCATTTCTGAGGGCCCTTTCACCTGACACTAAGATCTGTATTACTTCCCAGAACTCAATTCTCCTTTACTTTTCTCATGATGGTGTGAAGAAGAAAAAGGCTCCATCCTCGCCCACCCTGCATCTCAGGGAAGAGACTTGGCTTCTTTCACATGGCTTCATTGGTGACAATGAAGAATGTCGCCGATTTCAAAGAAATCAGAAACCACAGTATTCAGCCACTTTATCCTTAAAACTCCAGCAGCCTTACATATGCTTACATATATATGTACTTCATCTCATAAAGCACCTGCCCTTCACCTTCACTATATCATCGCCCCAACACAGGGAGGTAAGCTGAGATCGTGATGATGACAATAAGTTACGGGGGCACAACACTTACAAGGTTATAAAGCATTCTTATATCTCAGTGCTCGTCAGATCAAATGGGACAGACAGCATCACTGGCCTCATTTTTACTGATACGGCAGGTGAGATCCAAATGGTAAGTGGCAGAGTCAGGACAAGAACAAGAGTCTCTGGGTCCTAGTTCAGAGGACATTCTGCTCTGCCACGCTGTCTCTGAGCAATGCAGAAGGTACATGGAGCCCAGAGCCCAGAGACGAACCAATCCTAAGTTCTCAAACACTTGAGAATTGCCAAAGTAATGAATGAGCAAATCAGTGAGTGGAGGGGTAAATGCAGGTAGCTTCTTGGCCCCATTGTCCAGAAGGGTAAAATTTTCTCCATGGAGAAGGGGGGCTGGGTGAGGGACGGTGTACACAGCAATTTATCATGAGTTCTTCCCTAAGAAGCATTTATCCCTCGTGTTGGCCCTGATGGAGCATGGTATGCGCACCCCCTGTTGGTGAGGCGTGGGTTTGCATGCTAAGAAAAAGCTAAGAAGCAGTGCATCATGGGTGTGGAGATGCTGTGAACCCTGATTTGATGACAAGCCGGTTTGGGGGCAGGATCTGGTCCCTGACGTGCTGCATGTGGGCAGTTTCCCTGTCCAGTCTCCCTCAGCATCCTGGGGCAGGCTTCCTGAAGACCCGGATCGCCATCTCCTTTGTCGCTCTGCTCCCTCTTCCTTGCTTCCGTCTCACGGAGCCCAGGCTCGGCTGGTTTCTCCATTCAGTTCCCACCCAGGAGAACTGTGGACAGGGCAGAGCCCAAGGGTGGGGCAGTGGGCATGGAGGTCCCCAAGACCTTGCTTTGTTCTCTCTCTCAAAAAACCAGTGAAACCTCAAGTCTCACTCAAGTGGGAAAAAGTGGGGCAAACCTTGCTAAAGATATTGTGGTATAATTTTTTAAATGCAAATATTTGATCTTTGTTCCTGGTTCCTGACACACAGTTTCTAACCCTTGGAATCTCCAGGGTGATAAGAAATGTCTTTTGGATGCTAACGAGATGACTGGTGACTGACCCCAGAGAGCCTGGAAGCCCCACACCTTTCTATTCTTTGCCCTATGCACCTCTTCACTTGGCTGTTTATTTGTATTCATTATAATGTTCTTTATAATAAACCAATAAGTGGAAGTAAAATGTTTCCCTGAGTTTTGTGAGCTCTTCTAGCAAACTATCAAATCTAAAGAGGAAGTTGTGGGAACCTTTGATTTATACCTGGTTGGTCAGAAGCACAGGTGACAACCTGAGACTTTCGACTTGTTCTGAAGTGAGGGCAGTCTTTGAGGACTGAGCCTTTAAACCTATGGAATCTGACACTCTGGGTAGTTAGTGTCAAAACTGAATTGAATTGTAGGACGCCTAGTTGACATCTGGAGATTTGGAGAACTGGTGTTGGTATAGACAAACCCACACATTTGGTATCAGAAGTGTTGTGAACGAAACAGGTCAGAGTTATTCATCAACCACCTCCCTATGGAGTCTTTTCCATCATCACCTATTCTGTATTTCCAAAGCCCAGGGTAGGCGACAGCCTCCAACAAAGCCAGCCTCCCTAGCTTCGCCTCCTTCATATTCTACAGCCCGAACCACTGCCCTTCGCCTTATTCTCCCCTTCCCAACCTGTTCCCAGTGGCCTCTACTCCTGCCTCGGGCTTGGACCACTCCCAGCATCCTGCTCGCTGGACTCCTCTGGTTCCTCCTGAGCTATAATTCCTACTTGCTCCTTGTGTTATTCTTTTACTGGCTCATCCTGCAAAACATCTCATTTGGTCTAGCACGATCCCTGTACCCTGCATGGGACTCAGAAAGTTAGGAACATTGTCTCCCTTATCTAGTGGAGCGTAAGAGCAAGCACATGATCCCAGCTTTCTTCAGAACTCTCCATGGATCTCCCAGCATGCTGGACTTCCAGGGAGCCAGGCAGAGTGTACAGGTTGAAGAAAGGAGAGGCAGCTAGTGGGCTCCCCCTTTATCACACCACCAGCCACTCCTCCCCCACACCTGTTCAGCCACCTTTCAAATACCAGCCCTGGGTGCAATCCTTGGCCTAAAGCATTAAGAGCAGTAAACAGGAAGAATATAGGGAACAAGAACCCTGATGGAAAATGACTGACCTGTGTAACAATTAACCTCTACCCATTCAGCCTCAGCCGCCGTTCTAATCAGATGCTTTCAATACCTTAAAATTTCCAAATCACTTCAAGCGACTTGGGTGACATTTTCATGCCAAAAATAGTTTCAGAAGCAACACTCCCCAGATGTCTCGAGCTAGTGGAAGCCAGATATTTATTTTCAGCATTTGAGAAAAGTATAAATCCTGAGGCCGGAGGAGTTTTTAGCCAAAAAGTGTCCTGGGTTGAGAGCAAAACAAATTGCACAGCCTGCGAAGAATGGGCCCGTCCTCTCTGGGGCCTCCCAGAAATCCATGCGCCCGTGAGCTGACTTTTATACCACTGGTTCCTGTGCTCGCAGATCTAAAGAAAGAGAAACACGGGGCCACACAAAAGTCTTTTCATTCCAATCATAGAAATGTTCATGGTGAAATGAGTCTTTGAGTTTGCTTTAAAATACTCCAGTTTGGAAAAAAAAAAAATACTCTAGTTTGGGAAAAAAAAAAAGGGGGGGGAGGGAGAAAATGAGATAAATAAAAAAGTTAGCAAAATATTGATAATTCTTGAAGCTGGATGATGGGTGCATGGGGGTTCATACTACCATTCTCTACTTATTTTATATGTTTTGTTTTTTTGTAGCTGTTTTGAAATTTTTTTATGATAAAAAAACGGTAAAGACTCCATGGGAAACCAATCCTTAGCTGCATTTTCATCTGGAGTGATATATGTTATATATCTGGCCATTAGTCAAGGGTACTAGATGAGCAGAGTTCCTCTCTTGCAGGCAACGTATACAGCCTGTTATTTTTCAATCACACTAATTCAAATTAATGGCAACGTAGATGCCCTACAGGAAATAATTTCCAAGTAATGGCTGTAGTTGTTTGTTTGTTTGTTTTTTTAAATTACACATTCAAATGATTCATTGACTCTGCATTCATTCAACTCAATCTTAACTGAGCTATTGATGTAGTAGGGACCTACATAATTAAAGCTT